TCAAGCAATTTACATGAAAAAAAAATATCTATAGAGACAAACACACGTGTATGTACACACACGTGTATGTACACACAAAAAGGCATTTTTGTCGTATATTTAGCTTTCCTGCTGCTTAAGCACATATCGCTTACATACTTATGTAGCTACAAGATAGAACGCCCCAAAATTCCAGGCAATGCGTAGGTATTTACCTCAATAGCAGTCGCAGGCATTTCGTTGGTACTTTTTGGAGATCACAAGTGGCGCTCTTCACGATTATTGTTAAATGATACTGCCGTTGTTGCTGTTGTTGCAGTATATTGACATTGTTGTTGTTATTGTAAAGTCATGATAAGGCTTTTGTGTCGCGCCGTCACCACTAAAAATTCGTCCACAGGCTACACGAAATATCGGCATCGTTTTCATTTCGTTTTACTGGTGTTGAAAGTCAAATAGCTATGGATGTAGTGTAAGTTGTGAAATTCGAAACTTTATGATCCGCATGGCAGCGCAAGTAAAGGAGCAGAGTATTAAACGAAAAATATGTGTACAGTGACTTTAAAAAGTATTTTTCATAATTTTTTTTGTTTACGATATTCAAAATGTTTTTCATGTTTTCTTTTCGTAAAATTTCTATAAAAATATATTAAGTTCATTTTATAAGAAAAATCACTCCAAAAAAATTTTAAACTTTACAGAAAGTTTTGATTATGATTTCTAAATTTTCCATCTGATTTTTTACAAAAAAAATCGAGTACGCAGTTTTATAGCAAATTTAATTGTAGTACAACAAAGTGCAAATTTTAGGTTGCTAAAAAATTCCGTTGAATTTTGATAATCTTGTTTTTTTGCTGTCGGTATTGAGCATTTTCTTCCAAATAACGAATGTTCTTGTATGAAAGAAAATGTTTAACACTGTCAGCAAAAAATAAAATATATATATAAAGAAACAACGAAATGTTTCCTTTTTTACACTAAAATTAAATGGGCTACATAACTGCTAATACGAAAATTTTCCAAAAAATCTGATTAAAAAGTTTGAAATTTTGATGAAAATTTTTGCTGACTTTTTTTAAATTTTCTCCAAACTTTGAAATTGTGATTTACCTAGTTTTCGTTGAAGAATGAGATATGTATATTTTTTTATAAAAAAGTTAACAAAAAAAAAATACCATGAAAAACATTTTGAATATCGTAAAAAAATTCAATTGAAAATACTTCTGAGCGTCACTGTACATAGATACATACATACATACATACATACTGTATTTGCTTATGTACATACATATTTGTGGTTAGTTTTTGATTGCTTAATTTACAAAGACGGCAAGATAAGACCCTTGGAGGAGTACATAAATGCTATGATTCCTTTGACGCAGCTTTATAGTAGCAACAAAACTTTTAACTTTTTCAAATATAAATAGAATGTTGATAAAGGCTGCGTGCGAGTGACGTGAATCCAAGAGCATACACAGGCAATATTGGGAATGTACTTATTTATGTACACACATACATATGTATGTAGAAGAAACTTTGAAGTTTAGTTACTATCAGAAAGAAGCGATTGAAAAGTTTAATAAAAATTACTTCATACTATAGTTTTCTTCCCAGCAAGACGTACTATTGTTGTTGCTGCAAATTCCCCACAGTGTTTTTGGTGAATGATGCTGGAGCGATAACCATTGGCCAGATATGAAACTGGGTCGTGGGTGGGTATGACATTGCAGTTACCCTCCAGTAGCCACCTGGCTTCAATAAAAGGTTTCTAAATTGCCGAGCTTTTTGTAGGTGATCTTAGCTTAAGCTTTGAGGAAGTGTATGATGACTTCGCACTACTATTCGGGAGGCATATTGCTGTTGTTGCAGCGGCTACTNACGAGTTTTTTGTAGGTGATCTTAGCTTAAGCTTTGAGGAAGTGTATGATAACTTCGCACTACTATTCGGGAGGCATATTGCTGTTGTTGCAGCGGCTACTAAACCCCGCTCGAGTTGGCGCATCCATCAACGTTGTCGTCTCGCTCAGCTAAGGGGAGGCCCAGGAGGTGCGCAACTTAAACAGGGTCTATCCATAGGGACAAGAGCGTTAGCTGGGCGGGGTTTCGGGGGCTCCCGCCCCATGACTCACGGTACCTCTTCGCATGCCGGACACTGGTTGGGCACATCTTCGTTTACTCTGCTCAGGTACGAGTTTATCCTGCTGCAATAGCCAGAGCGATGTTGGGCTATTGTGGGGTCGGGTCCACATTCCACGACAGCGACATAAAAAATTCTAATTTTTAAGAAAACACCCGTTCTATAATTTTAACTATACCTATACCTATACCTATACCTATACTATACTATACTATGTACCGCCTTGTANCGGGTCCACATTCCACGACAGCGACATAAAAAAATCTAATTTTTAAGAAAACACCCGTTCTATAATTTTAACTATACCTATACCTATACCTATACTATACTATACTATGTACCGCCTTGTACCGCACTTCCAATACCGCGTCTGTTTGAGTGTCCTTTTAGGGTTCGTGGCACTGATACGGTGTAAGAGTGGCCAAACTAACCATAATCAATGAATGCTTTATGTGGGTCTCCCAAAAGAAAACATCAGTAACAATAATATTAAGAAATAGAAAACAATTTAATGTAAAAAGTAANGGGTTCGTGGCACTGATACGGTGTAAGAGTGGCCAAACTAACCATAATCAATGAATGCTTTATGTGGGTCTCCCAAAAGAAAACATCAGTAACAATAATATTAAGAAATAGAAAACAATTTAATGTAAAAAGTAAGAGCAACTACTAAAAAAAAAATGCTGAGCAGCAATTGATAGCTTTGAATAGCTAATCAAATTTACGCTGAGAGAGAGTATGAGTAATGTACAAGATTGATACATATGTACATGCATGCATACATACATACAAATATATATTCATACATACATACATACAATCGTAGAAAGATATGGGAGAGCCAAGCTGATCGTGTGGAGCAAAAGATCAATTGTGAATAAGTTTATAGCGGGCGCGTGTGTAGTATGAAATCGGTGAGATAGAGAAAGAAGAAAGTGCTTGCAGAGCGGTAGTGTGAGTGTTTTTTTTTTGGTTTTCATTTCACACGTTTTTTTTTTGCGATTTCATCTTAAAACATATGTACGTATTTTCACTTAGCAATAAGCAGGATATTTGTTACTCGGTATTCATTCATTCAGAATGTAGATGACTACATATTTCAATTTACTAAAATATAAGTACATAGCAAGTAAGTATGTATGTGCTTATGTATGTTTGTAGAAATTGACACGTTCCGGTAGTAATTTTCGCATACATAAGTACCCATACACACAAGTACATATTGGCTTATTTGTAGTTGTACATACATACATACATACATACATACACCTGTGTGCTTATTTGTTTATGTGGTGATTTAAAAGCAGCGTCGATAATTTTAATTAAAGTGCGCTGACAGGGTGTTTGCTGAATGAATTTTTGTTTTTCAAAAAAGGAACTCATTAATGCCAGCGCCGCAAAACAGGAAATTACGAAGTCAAAACAGGTTGAAAATTTTAGGATTTTGTTTAGTGAATAACAATAACAATAACGAAACGTAACTTATTTAAAATATACATACATACATACATCAACAATTTCTAACTCAACCGCAAAATTACTCGTACGAACAAGTAATTTTTAAGCAAACAACAAAACCGACTTCAATTCTCATATAAAAATTTAAGATTATCGTTAATTTCTTCACGATCCAATTATCGGATATAATTAGCATGGGACCACCCGAAGTCGATTAACGTGGTCCAAAGTTATGCGGTTACATACATAAAAAAAAATAAAATAAAAAATATTCCGACGAACTGATAAGCTCCTCCTTTTTTTGAAGTCGGTTAAAAAATTTAATAGTTTTTATAGTATTCAGCTAAATAATTTACGTCTATTTTTGGAATACTTTTTTAATTGTGGTGAAATTTCATTTGTTAATTTTTAATTGGAATATTTTGCTACGCTATACTTTTTAAAGTATCTTACAGCATGTCGTAGAGCTTCAAGTAACTTTTAAAATTTATCTACCCTCAAACACATTTTTCGAGAACAAAAGCTGTGTTAAAGCGCATTTTTTGTGAACAAAATTTGTGTTTAAAGGCGAGAAAAATTTTAAAAGCTACTTGAGAAAACGGCCCTATGAATAATAAATGTTCTATAAAAATAACAATGAAAATACTCAAAAAAAAAAAAATGTTGTTTCACTTTTAAAAAATGTTTTACTTTAATTTTTAACACAATTTTAATTAAAGAATTTCTCAGTCTCATGTTTATGTGCTAAAATTAACAATATAAACTACAAATTAATTTTTTCCCACTTTTTAGCAATATTTTGTGGGTTTCTAAGAATTTGTGTAGTGGAAGTGGAGGTGTTAAAAAACTGATTCCATGATTTTTTTTTTAATTTTTTACAAATTTCATAATTTTTTGTTGATTTTGCCATTCAAGGGATTTCTTACATTAAATTTTTTTTACAAATTTTATAATTTTCTAGTCAACAAAGGCAGTATGCTTGAGCTCATTTTTATGAAAATGTGTTTGTGGAAAAATAAAAAATTATTTGAAATGATAGAAGCTAAAGGTAGTTGATATTTTGAAGATCAATAAAATTGAAATTGTCAACATTTTGGCTAAGCTTTTTTTTTTGCTTCACCATTCCATGCAACGAGTGCTGGCTCATACAAGGCCCGGTAGTTGCTTATGAACTTTTTCTTTACAATTTACAAATTTTGAAATCGGCTTTTGTTTTTTTGCTAACAAAGAGTTTTCAATACTACTTTAAGTTATTCTGGCTTCTTCAATTGTTGGTGCCTAAACTCTATTTTACATACATACCTATGTAATTTTAAAGTTTGGTTTGTTTCATAAAATGTGTTCTTTCAGAAGTGGCGTAACTACAGAATATTGTTCGTTTTCTGAATTTTATTATCGATTTTCGTAGAATTTTTCACAACATTACCTTGATTTTAAAGATCCACGCTCACGAGTTTTCCAATTAGCGCTTTTTATTTGTCTTGTAGGTTGCTGTATTTTTGTTTTTAAGCACTTAAAATCCTTTTTTCAAACTGTGATGACTTTGTTGACTTAATTCTGCGTAAGTTTTTTTCTTCAAGAGAATACACTTCCATTTCTTTAAATTTCGAATTCGAATAATCTCTTTGATGCACCAAAATATGTATGTAGATATCTCGCAATTATATTTTTCACATTAAATTTTTTTTTTTCGTTTTTATTTCACTTTTCGTCTGAAATTCCTTTATCAGCAAAAATAGCAATTATTTGTCTTATTTTTATTCCCCACTTATGCACATTTGTTGTTGCTTTCAAAAGCTCTACACTTTTTATATACAAATGTACTTGTCTTGTTTTTGTAATCACTGATGAGTTCATGTAGATATGTATGTACTACTTAAATATATACGGCTTGAGTGAGCTGCGCAAATCAACGAGGAGCAATACGTCCTTACACGCGCAGGCACCAAATGTGAATGCCTGTTGGTTACGGCTCTCCTGCGCTGCTTACCACCACCGCCCCGAATAGCAGCGTCAACGCCTGCCGTCGACGCCACCACCAAAAGCAACAATCAGCAATCAACAAGCCGCCAGCTACTCAATACAATCAGCCACGCTCACGACGCGTCCCGTTTGATGACGACGACGTGGACACGAACGAAGGGGAATTAACGAAGCGTCACGAAACGAAACGAGACAAGGCAAGGCGATCGTCCGTACTCGAAATTCGTGTATGTCAGTATGTGTATGTTTGTGTGTTTGCACGGCAACGTCCTACAGGCGAAGGAGGCGTAAAAGCAGCGTAGCAAAAAACCAAAAAAAAATAAAAACTTGGTGGTTACCACCACCGCCGCCGCCCCAATGGCTTTGCTTATTTTATTTTTTATTCATATGTACATATGTATAAATGTAGTAGATATTTGCTACACGACTGGGACTCGTCGGTTCCATTTTTTGCTTGCTGATCGGTTCGTGCGCTCGTTTTGAGTTACTCATACGCGCAGGCTACAAAAGCGCCTGACGATCGGATATATTCAATTTCGTTTTATGTCTCTATGTATGTAAGTATGTATGCATATTTGTTTATATACCTGTATATATGCACATATGCATATATGCACGTATGTATATGTACCACCCTTGCTGTGCGCTTTTGTTGAGCAAAGGGAGCGGAGGGGTGCGAAAGCGGTCGACTTTTTAACTTTGCCTCCTTTTCACACCACCGGGCGTATAGTTTGACTGTGTTTGTGCGAATGCAATAACAACAAGTCCAACAATAATATAACACCACCAACAACAACGAACAATATTTCTCAAACCACAGAGATTTATTGTACATAGAGGGTAAATTCCGTTGCTGTCGCTGCCAACGTGAGCAGCGCTCTGCTTTCGCCTGTTGCTTTTCGACTTGAGTCAGACAAAAAAGGGCGACCCCTTGATATGCCAGTGTGTGTGTGTGTGTGTGTGTGTGCGTATGCCTGTTGGTGTTTTTCCTCATTTAAGTCAAGTGAGTGTGTTTGCCTTTTTTCTACACATAGACGGGTTGACACGCAGGCACTTTTGGGTGAACGGAGAAGGCGACAAAATTCTGTGAAATTTAAAAGCTTCACTGGGCGACTTCCATTTCAGGAGTTGGGATTTACATGTGTACATAGGTACATACATATATTTATGTACATATACATATGCACTAAAATTAGCCGAGTTTAGAAAGTAAATTTTAAATTTCGTCGAAAGAGTTTAAAAATTTTAGTTTAATTCAGTTATCAAATTTTTTTAAGAATTGATCTTTTGTAAGAAAAAGGTTAACAATATTAAAATTTAACGCCGTAAATGTTTAACTGCCTAAATTTTGGGTTTTTAAGACCTTGAGAACTTTTTCCTTGGGAATTTTGTAAAAAGAAAGTTTAGAAAAACTCTAATAATTCAGATAGTAAATTTTTAAGAATTTGTGAACTTTTTCTTATTTATATTTAACCATACCTATCGCCAATTTCCTGTGAATAAATTGCTGACGAGAATTTACAAGTAAAACAAAAACAAATTGGGAAAAATTGTTTTTGTTTTACATTTATAATTTTTGGGAATACTTGTTCAAATGGAATTCGCAAGGTCGAACATATTTTAGGAGTTTGAGAACTTTTTCTTTTGAAATTTTTAAAGAGATAAGTTTATGATAATTAATTTAACTCAAAAATTAACTTTTTAAAAAATTTGCGAACTTTTTCTTATTGCATCCCATTTTACTAGCAAAGCAATGTAGACACTTACTTGCAAGCCAGATTAGAAAAAGCTCGCTNCGAGTTTGAGAACTTTTTCTTTTGAAATTTTTAAAGAAATAAGTTTATGATAATTAATTCAACTCAAAAATTAACTTTTTAAAAAATTTGCGAACTTTTTCTTATTGCATCCCATTTTACTTGCAAAGCAATGTAGACACTTACTTGCAAGCCAGATTAGAAAAAGCTCGCTGCTTTTTAAGACACAAAAACACCAAGCCGCTGTCCCATTTAACCTTTGACTTGTTGGTTTTTTTTTTTAAACTTACGTTGCTGTAGTATTTGCGTAGAAAAGATTGAATTATTTGCCGCTGAGATGTATGTATGAATGTATGTACATGGGTATCCAGAAAACGTTTAACACTTTATGAATTTTTGCATATGTAGTAAGTAGCTCACAACTAGAAATCGCCCATTAGGCGCTCTGCGTTTTTCAATGCAAGCTCTAAATGCTTTATTTTACACAGTAAATATCTTTTTGAGTAATTTTCAGATTTTTTATAGGGTTAATTTTTTTCTAATTCTCCATAACACACTTTTATAAAATTTATCGCGCCGTATTTTTGTTGTTACTTTACTTTATTGTATCCCATAAATACTAATTTTTAATTTCTTATAGCTTTTCTGGGGTCGCAACACTTGTTTTCGTTTCTTTCATTAAATTTTCTTCGGTTTTTACTACCCTTTGAACCCCTCTAATAAGATATCACACGCGCGTACACTGGACGACCAACAACACAACTACAACACACGGCGACTCATTTCATACTGCTTGGCGAGCCTGGCGAACAAGCGCAACGAAGCAGCAGTGACGATGGCAGCCAGCGACAGTGACTGCAACAGCAGCCAACACGGCAATTTTGCTGACGAAATGATAGCCAACGACGAAGCAAGGCAAAAAGCGGAGCGAAGGGGGCAAACGGCGCGATCCTCAGTCCTCTCAAAAAAGGGAAAATTAATGCAAACACACATACAGCTCGCAAAGCAAAAACAAAAATAAAATAAAAAAAAATAGCCAAACAAACGCTCAAGGTACTCAACAGCAACGAAATACGTTTGTTCATACATACATACATACATCCATATGTAAGTTTGAGTGCCCACACGAATGTGTGTCGAAGTGAAAAAGTCACTTCTGCCTTCTGCTGACTTGGCGGCTGCCAACACACAATTGCCTGTTGCCTTTTGTTTTTCTCCTTCGTGGCGGCAGCAGCAACAACAGCCGCAGCGGCAATCAGTCCTACGCGTTTTCGACTTTGCGCTAGCAGCGCACCGCTCTCCTGTGTCCCTCTCGAACTGATGAGCCAACGCAACAGAAAAAAAGCAGCAGCTTGCGGCCAACATAGCGACGCATAGAAAAATCCTACAAAGCGGCGCTCATCAATACAAACAACAACAATAAGAATAATAATAATAATAAGAAAAATAATAGCAAAGCAGAAACGTCGACTTTGTTCGTCTCCTTTTCCTGCTGCGCACTATGAACGGTGCACATGTGCGAGCGGGAGAGGTACATAGCCATGAGCGCGTTGATCTGTTGGATGTTGATGGTGATAAATAAATTATTCCCTTGCGATTCTCACACAAGTATTCATACATACATACATACATGCGCGTGCATTGTGAGGGCTGAAAATCCAAAAAAAAAAAATAAAAACAACGGAGATAAAGTGAAATTCATTTTCCAACTTTACTCAAGCCGCAAACTGCATGCCAGCAGCGAAGAAGGGTGGCATAAATAGGCTCTCTTATAAGACCGGCAGCTAGCAAGCAAACATTCTTATTAGTTTATCTCCTCTGCTGTAAAATNTAAAAACAACGGAGATAAAGTGAAATTCATTTTCCAACTTTACTCAAGCCGCAAACTGCATGCCAGCAGCGAAGAAGGGTGGCATAAATAGGCTCTCTTATAAGACCGGCAGCTAGCAAGCAAACATTCTTATTAGTTTATCTCCTCTGCTGTAAAAAAAAAATGTGCTCACGCACACCACTTTATTGGCGCTCTCTTGTATGCTCTTGGCATCGCTGCTTGAATATTTTTTTTGTTTTCTTTGTAACCCCATTCGCATGCATGCACTTGCCGTTCCGCTTGAAAGCTCCATCAAATTGCTAGGGGCTAGCGCTGCTGCGCTTTATCTCTCTCTCTCTCNTGCTGCTCACGCACACCACTTTATTGGCGCTCTCTTGTATGCTCTTGGCATCGCTGCTTGAATATTTTTTTTTGTTTTCTTTGTAACCCCATTCGCATGCATGCACTTGCCGTTCCGCTTGAAAGCTCCATCAAATTGATAGGGGCTAGCGCTGCTGCGCTTTATCTCTCTCTCTCTCTTTTCGCGTGTATTTTTTCTGCTGTAGTATTTTGTAGAGTTTCTCCTATTTGCCCCATTCATACAATAAATTCAATTAAATTCTTCTGAAAGGAACGTAATTGCATTCCAAGCTGACCTTTTCCAGCCAGTTTTTGGCCTTTTTCTCGCTTTTCAACTCTTTCGCCGTTTACATGATTTTAGCTTAAGAAAAGCTTTTGAGCGCGAAGTCTCCAAATACTTATATATACATACATATGTAAGTTTGTATAAATGTATTGTATGTGCATACATATGTATACTCCCTCTTGGAGGATCGTTTCTCCAAGCGAGGTAACAGTGGTTTTTATTCGTGCGTTGGTATGAATATTTGTGGGTAAGTTCAGATTTGTGGTTTTATTACCAAATAAAATAATTTTAGTGCTTTTCATGATGATTTCAGTCATACATATATAGTACTTAACTAGCTACATACAAATGATTCCTTTTTCGTATTACGGGGTTGGGTTCTTCGAATTTTTATACAACTCATAGCAAAAGTCGTACGCTTGTGCTTCTTGGTTGGCGCTTTAATCATCTATGCGATTCCCGCGTGAAGCCAAACCCCTCACACCAACACCAAAGAGGCATTTGTCTTCCTATAAGGCTTGAGCATACCCAAACATACATAGGTATCTAAGACATAACCAAGTCAACGGAGCCGTTGTAATGACCTACATATTTTGGGAAAAGCTGAGATACTCAACTCCATTACACAAAATTCAAAGGAAAATCGACAGATTCTGCTCTACAGTGTCAGATTAGTAAGATCAAAAAAAAAGGCCTCGATTTTAAGGAGATTGACTTTTTATAATACTCCCTACGGATCCATCTCAAGTGCACTGGTCCAAAGAGACTTGGATCTCTCCACTGTCCGGTGGATCGACACCATGCTTCGTGAGCGTGATATAACGCTGTCTCTGGGCAATAGCTACATGAACATCCGAAAGTGGTTACGATGCTGTAGGACAAGCGGACAATTTGTTAATTATTGTTACGGGAAAATACGGCATCAACTTTGCGCGTGGTATAAAACCGGTGTGTGGGGCTCAATATAGACCTGCAAAAGGCTGTTCTGGTGCCGTATACAATAAGGTATACGCTGAACCTTGGGTCAGTTACTCTTGCAGAAACAGTGCTTGAATATCTTGGGATTATCCTGAGTTGGAATTCCCATCTAGACAAAACTCTCAGTAATGCCACCCAGGCTACGTGGGACTGTCGAAAACTCTTTGATCGAACGAGAGGATCTGGTAAACCTTAGTTGGATTCTTAGTATGTACACTGGTGCACAGACGGAGCGAAAATGGAGGGAGGGCACAGCAGATGCGGGTGTCTTTGGGCCTGTCATCAAACTTTATTATGTACTAGAAATCTCAATTTGTGTCCTTGAAAAGGGTTTGAAAGGCGCCTTTCTAGCTATCTTTTCAGACAGCCGGGACGATCACCTCTTGGCTCATCAAAGCGTGCTTTGACACTCTCCAACTCTTGGCAGCAAGGAACGCAGTATCAGCACACTGCGTGATCTCCGACGAACTGACTAGGGAAGGCTCATGTTGTTGTTGTTTTAACAGCATACAAATTCCCCAAATATTTTTTGGGGAGTGTTACTGCAGTTACAGTCCTTGCCCAGATATAAAACTGGGTCGTTCAGGCTACGTAGTCCAGACTGTCGTGGGAGCGAAGGAAGGCTCATCGTTTGTAGTTGCGGGACCGGAACCGTTCAGTTGGTTATTCTCGAGATTTACAGTCGACACGTGCATGAAGTCAGAACGTAACGCTAAGTTGCTTATTGGTTATTTACCTGGTCATAATCACCAGCGACCTCACATGCACCGGATTGGCGTGTTTGTCTTGAAGACGAGGAGGATTGGTCTACGAAGAAACTGTTGGCTTTTAGTGAGGCTTGTAGTATCTTGGGACGTCAGACTTTCAGGTTGCTGTGTCCCTTGTTTCTGTCGCACCCATTAAACCTACATTACATTATGCTGGAACCAGACGGCATTAACCCTGTCCAGTGGCGAAAGACTTTGTAGTTGTCGTTCCATTGATTGTTTCCAACCTTCGCAAGTTGCGCTGTACGGAGGAGTGTGCTAGGCTGTAGTTTACACCACTGATGGGCACTGCCATGCCCGCGGACAAAGTTCTTTTAAGCTCTCTATACATTTTGTATAGGGGAGCGCTGAGCAAAAGCTCTCTCTGTACATCGCTGGTTTACAAAGAAGGTTAGCAAAAGCTTTCATGTCTCTCTCAAGGATTTCAGGTTCTGCCTTCTTTCCTCTTAAAACTATGAAGTGGCCACGTGATCGAGGAAGGCTTTTAACAACGTCCTTCCGAGGGGAGATCGTAAGATCCCTTGGTAAGCTTGGTAAAGAAATCGATGGGGCAGTGCCACCATGCAGCGTAGAGTAAATAGGGGTTTGCCGGAGGATGGTGTTATCATACCCACATGGATTGTGGTCATAAACGATCTGCTGGAGGCGCTGGCGAGCGCAATGATGTTTGTTAAATAAGGGCTAATTTTATGGACTCCATTTTACATCTGATCCACGGATCGAGCGAGTATGCGGCCTTCGAAGTCTACCTACGAATATAGCAAAACCAATTGATAATTAAGTGATTAACTCTAGCTTAACCTTCATATTAACCTTGTATCGAGAAAAAATTTTATATGTTGGTATTTTTTAAGCTTCAGGAGATAGCCACGANAGCGGCCTTCGAAGTCTACCTACGAATATAGCAAAACCAGTTGATAATTAAGTGATTAACTCTAGCTTAACCTTCATATTAACCTTGTATCGAGAAAAATTTTATATGTTGGTATTTTTTAAGCTTCAGGAGATAGCCACGACCTATTTTGATGTGGCTGCAAAGGCTTTTCTACCACCTACCACCAATAAAAAGCGGTCGCCCTAATGGCATGGAATTTGACGCTTCCGCCGTAGAACATCGAAAACGTGCCTGGTTTTTCGGTCAGGAGACAGAAATGTAACTTGATGGATCTTCTTATGAAACCTATTGCTGCCGACTACCGTGATTCGGGCCTCGTGTGAAATCGATCAGCTTCAGTTGGCTATTGGAGGTTTCATCGTGGCTTAAAAATCATAAATAACGATTCTAAGATCCTTAGGGAGGAAAAAGCGATACGAGGCTTATTTCATTGGAATTTTGTTTTGAGTAGCGATACCTAAACCCAGTGCACAACCTTAACCTGGATCAACTTTTTGTAGAGTGTACCTTTGTATAGCGATCCGCTAAAGCTCCCTCTTCTTTTGTCATGACCTAAGGTTCCACTTGTGCTGTAGATTGCATATGGGCTGACCAAGTTAACACAGGCTTGGCGAACGCAGACTCAAGCATTCGAAATGAGTAAAGGAACTGCAATCGAGAAGCTGCATCAGACTACATTTTAACCCAGCCGTTGGACCTTTAAAATTTTATTTGGGATATCAAGTCGCGTAATGCCTACT